AGGGAGATGGCTCAGAAGTTAACAGCATTTTCTTCATTAGCAGAGGACCTGAGTTCGATTTCCAGTGCTCACATGGCAGCTCATAACTGTCTGTAACTCCAGGGGCCCTGGCCTCATGGGTTAAAGGCATGAACACGCGTTCATGCAGGCACCCATACCAACACATACAGTTAGGTTTTTTAATAATAAAGAAGTGAAACCTATAGCACAAAGGAAGACTGGAAATCTCCCTCGGGGAAAATGTGGTTGATATGCAAATGACTCATAAACGTTGTCTCATCTTTGACCTTTCCCCCAGCTCTGGCCCTTTCTCCTCCAGGAAGTTAGTGCTCTCATCCCTTCATAAACCGTCTCAGTGTCTACCTCTATATGCACATTCCTGCCCAATCTCCCTTTCTGGGACCTGAGGTCATATGGGTTCTGTCAGGTGCTCCCGGACTCCTGTGTTCGCCGGTACCACCACTGTTCCATTAGTTAGGATGGCTATCCTATGACCATAACATGTTGCTAAGGAGAAACCGTGCAGAGTATGTGGGAACTTTGTGTTGTTTTAATAATAACTCAAAGACTATTTTATAGAAACAGGGCTGGAGAGATGGCCCTCAGTTAAGAATACTGGCTGTGCTTGCAGAAGACAGGTTCTTAGCATCCGTGAGAGCGTCACAGCTGCCTATTCCAGTTCCAGGGGAGCCGACGCCCTCTTCTGGCCCCCACAGGCAACTGCGCACACACACACACACACACACACACACACACACACACACCAAAAAAAAAAAAAAAAGAAAAACAAAACAAAACAAAAAAAAACCCTTAAATAAGTTAGTATGAGTACATGATTTTAGTGACATGGTATACAACCCTGGTTTTAGCTCCACATTGGTCTTTATTCTGGTTTCCCTCACATGACTGTACTTATGCTCCCTTTGTGCCTGTATAAAGACAGGAGGATTGCCAGGCAGTCATATAGTTGTGGCCTGTAACTCAGCACTTCCTGTGCATCAGACTGCCCCAACCCTGTGAGGGAGAGGGTTGGCTCCTGTGTGTGAGATCCCTGTTTCACCTTGGCTTCTTTCTCTCTGTAACCCAAGCTGATGTCAGACCCACAGTGTGGCTGAGGACTACCTGCCTCTACCTCCCAAACGCTGAGGCAACAGCTGGGTTACAGAGTGACTTGAATAAGAATGCCCTCCGTAGGTTCCTATGTTTGGACGCTGGATCCCCACTTTGTGGAACTGCGGAGGAAGGATTGGGCGGTATGGTCTTGCTGAAGGAGGTGACTCACAGGGCCTCCGGCTGCTTGCAGTGTGCTCTCTGTCTCGTGCTTGTGGATGAAAAGACAAGCTCTCAGCTGCTGCTTCATTCTGGAATGGTAAGCTCCACAAACTCTCTTTTATAAGTTGCCTCAATGAGGTTTTATCACTCCGATAGAAAAGAAAGGAATGTGCCTCTACTTCCAGCTTTTTTGTTTTGTTTTGTTTGATTCAGGGTTGAGACAGTGTTGCACTGTCTGGAGCTCACTATGTAGCCAAGGCTGGCCTTGAACTTGCAGCTATCCCTCTGCTTCAGCCTCCTGTGCTCAGGGGTTACAAGCATGAGCCTTAAGGCCTGACTCAGGAGGAAATCTCCTAAATGTTGGCGTCTCAGAGGCCAGATCTGCATCCTCGTTCTGTCATCTCTAGCCGAGTGGTAGGCACAATGAGCGCCTCTCCATAGCTAGCTTCCAGTCTGTTGACAGGAGACTGACTGATCCCGCCCCACAAACAGAAGTGTAGCGGGTGAACTTTACCTCTTTGGCTTATTCTAGCCACTCTTAAACAGTCTCTGAGCGCTGTGGGTGAAGACTGCAACAGAGTCTGGGCCCAGGTCGTGCCCTGGCTGTTCCCTCTTCCTTTCTCTCAGTGAGATTTGCTTAGGGGTGGGAAGGTGGCAGAGCCATCCAGAAAGGGGTTGCCATCCTCCAGCAGGCTCTGGGATGGTCCTGGGGACCCCGAGGCTAATTGCTAATGAGTTCTGGTTAGGGCCAACTCAGTTCTGCTGCGGGGTAGAAAGGTTCAGGGGTGTGGGTGTGGCTCAGCAGGAAACGTGCGTGTTGTACAGGGCTGGGCACCTGAGCTTACATTCCCAGAACATGAATGAGAATCAAAATGAGGTGCCACAAACCTTCAATCCCAGTGCCAGAAGGGGTGGCAACAGGGAGATCCCTGGGGCTTACCAGCCAGCTAGCCTAACCAAACCGGCGAACTTCAGGATCGGAGAGATGCCGGGTTTTTCCTATTTGTTTCTTTGTTTTTTAACGTACAGGGGGATTAGACTGACAGACTTGTATGCACTCCCCTGGTCACCTTCACAGGCCTCCCCCGTCTAAGGACTATGGGAGAGGGTACCTGGGAAAGGGCCTCACAGGAGACCAGCGGGCAGCATCCCTGACTCGCACTCACTGAATCCGGGAGGTCTGATGCACACTGTCACTGCTCAGGCCTCATCTCTGACAGGAGGCGAATGTGTCAGTGCCACCTTGCTGCTCTCTGTGAGTGCCAGAGCGCAGCCATGATCCCTGCACGCTTCTACACTCTTACTCCTGTGCTCTCCCACCCTTACGCCAGGGGCCTCTCCAACTAATCTCAGGTCCAGTCCCTAGTACTGTGTACCTTGGCAACTGTCCTCTGGCCTCCCTCACTTCCTGGATGCCACAGATGAAGGACTGCCCCACGGCCTCCCTGCTGATCAGGCCCCATCCAGGCCACTCTTTCAGTGCAGACCCCAAGGCAGCTGCAGGGTTAGGCCTCCCTTCTTCCCATCAGGCACTTGCCCCAGCCACTCCTCATGGACGCCTTCACTGACAAAGTGGCTCAGTCAGGTTGAAAGCCTTCTCTTTATTTGACTGCCCCTAGGTAATCATGTGGGCCTTTGTTTGTTTGTTCTGGAAAAGAATTGTGAGATGGTCCAAGTAGCAAATGTGGTGAGCTATCAGAGACTACTCAGGCTGGCCCTAACTCTCTGGGAGCACAAGTGTTATCCTCAAAGACGAGGGCAAGTCCTAGAACTTCTTTGAGGTTGAACACCAAGGCTACTAGAGGAGAAAGCTCTGTTGAGGTCCTCTCTTGAAGGCAGGATAAATGCAACCTCTACTTCTTGCAGGGGACAGCAATGACTGAGGCCCACTACCTGAGAGGTACCAAAACCTATCCCCCAAGCCCTGAAGGAACAGGACAGGCATCTTGTGATCTCAAGTGTCCTGGCCTTGTCTATCCCTGGGGAGAGTCATCAGCCTGGCAGAGGGAAGAAACTGCATCAAGACATCTCCATGTGCTTTCCTGAAACACAAAAATGAGTCATAAGGAAAAAGCAGAAAGCCAATGAGATGTATGACTAATGCTTCTCCTGTCTACCACAAAGCAGGGAGGGTGGCAGGCAATGCCAGTGGGCATGCTGGGCTGCAGCAGGTCCTTGCCTGAGAAAACTGTGTGCCCCACTGCACATCTGACTCAGGCCAGGCTGAGAACGGATGTCGTCAGCTTAAATGAGAGCCCGTTAACCTAGACAAAAAGAAATGCCTGACAGTGGCACAGCCCCTCAGCACTCCTATGGACTCCTGTCTCATTTACCCTGCATCTCAGGAGGACAGGGGAGGGCTGGCGATGCTTGGTCTCAGTTGTCAACTTGACAGGATCTAAAGTCCTCTGTGAGGCCTCTGGGCATGTCTGTGGAAGAGTGATTTGGTTTGTTGAGGAGGAGAGACCTGTGTGGGTCCCACTGTTCTCTGGGTCGGGACCTGGGACTGTATCAAAAGGAGAAACTGAGGGGCTGGGGAGTTGGTTAAGAATGCTTGCTACGCTAGCAGAGGACCTGGGTTCAGTTCCCAGCACCCACACGGTAACTCCAGTTCTAGGGGATCCAAGGACCTCTCCTGGTTTCCTCACGTACCATGCACAAGAGTGATACATAGACAAACATGCAGGTAAAACACTCATAAAATGAATAAGTAAAAATGAGAGAGTGAGCTGAGCACAAGCAACGGTTATTCTTCATGACTGTGGATGCAATGTGACCAGCCCCCTCAAGCTCCTGCTGCACTGCCTTCCCATCTCGATGGACTGCGCCTTAGACTATGGGCCTTCAGACTGTGAGCCTTAGACTGTGAGCCTTAGACTGTGAGCCTTCAGACTGTGGGCCTTAGACTGTGGCCTTCAGACTGTGAGCCTTAGACTGTGGCCTTCAGACTGTGAGCCTTAGACTGTGGCCTTCAGACTGTGAGCCTTCAGACGGTGAGCCAAACCCCTTTTACCCTGAAGTTGCTTTTTTCTGTCTCCCTTCCCTCCTTCCTTCCTTTTTCCCCTTCTTTTTAAATTGCTTCATGCGTTTGAGTGTTTTGCCTTTGTATATGTCTGTGCCGTGTGCCTACAGTGCCCAAGAAGACTAGACGAGGGTGTGCAATCCCATCAAGTTGACGACTGAGACCAAGCATCACCAGCCCTCCTCCCCCCCGCCCCCCGTCCTCCTGAGATGCAGAGTAAATGAGACGGGAGTCCACAGGAGTGCTGCGGGGCTGTGCCGCCATTAGGCGTTTCTTGTCATCTAGGTTAATGGGCTCTGATTTAAGCTGACGGCATCGGTCCTAACTCCTTGGAACTGGACTTAGAGACAGCTATGAGCCTTCCCACGTGGGTTTTGGGAACTGAACCCAGGTCCTCTGGAAGAACAGCCAAGGCTGTCCATACCCAGCTATCTCTCCAGCCCCTCCTTCGAGTTGCTTTTGTCGAGTATTTTATCATAGCAACAGGAAAAGCAGTGAGGATGAGTGGTTGTATTGTTCCGTGGGTGAGGAACCAGACACCCAGAGACATCGTTACCTAACTTGCTGAGATGTACAGCTAAGAAGTAGTTCACAGGCAGAGGCCGACGGATCTCTGAATTCAGGCCCAGCCTGGTCTACGTAGGTGTTCCAGAACAGTCAGAACTACATAGACAAGTCCTGCCAGAAAAAGAAAAGAAAAAGAGGAGGAGGAGGAAGCCGCTTTTATTCAGATCCAGCCCAGACTCTTTTTTGTTTGTTTGCCTGTTTGTTTTTTTCTCAAGACAGGGTTTCTCTGTAGCCTTGGCTGTCCTGGACTCACTTTGTAGACCAGGATGGCCTCGGAGTCACAGCAATCCGCCTGTCTCTGCCTCCTGGGGTGCTGGGATCACCGGTGTGGGCTCAGCCCAGGCTCTTTCACACAGTCCAGTGTGGAGGCCCTGTACAGCCCACCAAATCAATGGCGTAGGCTTCTAAGGGTCCTTCTGCTCAGTGTGGTGTTCCCCTCCCCCCCATAATTAACTTGGGACGGTGGGGCTGGAGGATTGCAAGTTCGAGTCCAGCCTAGAGGATATAGTTCAACCATCTCTAAAATGTGTTTTTTTTTTTTTTTCTTTTTAAATCCTATGCACTCTTGCGCCTCAGGAGTGCATGCATCTTCTGGCAAGCCGCCAGGCCTGGGCCACCCCTCCCGCTGCCTTATGAGGAGGCAGGACCACCAGCAGCTGCTGTCTGTGTGACTGGCCTGCCTCTGACTGACAGCCGAATCCAGGGTTTTCCCCACAACCACAGCTGGTTGCCTTTCCTCTCACCGCATCTGGAAAGGGTGATTCAGGTGGCAGTGGGCTAGCCATGTCACGCGCTCTTCAAAGTAGGGACGAGGGCTCTGGCTTTCCCCGGGTTCTGTTGAGTAAAGGTCACAGGGTCTGTGAAAATGTGAGCGTACAGTGCTTGGCTCAGGGGAAAGGGTTTCGAAGGCCGTGTCTGAAATGAAGTTGGCTCTACAGAAGCCCCCTCCACCCCTGCTCCTCACTGGATGAGTGGAACTGGAAAATCTGCTCCCTCCCTTCCTCTGATGCCACCTTCCTCATTTACCTGAAGTTTTTTGTTCTAAGAGAGTACCCCAACCTCACAAGAAAGGGAAGGACAAAAAGGTTAGGCACCAAGACAGTTTCAGGTCTCTGTAATGGCAGCTTTTCCAGCCACACGAGGACGTTTCCAATCCTGTCATCTCAGAGACTCCACAACTTTCTCTCAGATTTTTTTTCCTTTTTTTTAGGCAGCCCACAGCACTCAACAATCTCAGCCCTGCACAGAGGTCAGTAAAGCCTCTCCTAGACAGGAACAGAAGGTCCCCTTGCTATGCTCCTTCCCACCCATTCTAGGCCAGCTCCTGGTGTACTGAGCAGAACTCACAGACGGTAAGGTGCTGGGCTAACACCTGTTTGCCTTCTGCCTTTCCTGTGCAATTAGGATGCCTATAAGCACAAAGGGCCAGTTCACGAGAAAGGCTCAGCTTGAGGCAGAGCTCACCCGAGCTTCGTGGGGAGGGGAGGCCTGGCGCTTCTGGCTTTCCAGTTGACTAGTGGGTGGAAGTGAGGGTTCCTCTCTGCAGAGCAGCCCCCAGAGGCCAGCCTTATCTCCTGTGAGCCATTTATCATGTGCTCATGTTGGGGTGCGTCACATAGACACTCAAAGCCAGATGTGAGGCAAGTAACCTCCCCTGTTCTTGAGGAAGCCCTGCAAGGGTGGTTCCGGAAAGATGGGCACGAGTCACAAACACGAACTAGTGTCCGAGCAGAGTGGGCACCAGAAAAGGCATACGTGTTCTAAGATGTTTCTCGGTTGTGGTTTGGGCCGCTCTTTGGCTCATAGATGGTGTGAGACAGGGCGTCCAGACCTGACCCTCCAGATGAGAAACAATCCCTCCGTCTAAGGCCTGGTGGAGGACAAGTCTCCAGTCCCTTGGACTATAGAGACAGAAGGACGCAGACTCACGCAGCCGGGCTTTCTGGAGGAGATAGGAAGCTGCCTTCCTGCTGGAGCTTTCAGAAACTCAGGAAAGGAAACACCATCCTCACCTGCAGGAAGGACGGGGGATTTCACGTTAGTGGTGTGAAGTTTCAGCTTAGGTGTTGATGGAGAATAGGGGTTGTCGGCTGAGAGGGGTGAGGGCCAGTGAGTCTGTGGTCTGAGAGCAGGCAGCAGCAGCAGGAGCCCTTTGGTCCCTTGGTTTTGGTGAGGAGTGTCTGTGACAGTGGTCTATGGGAGGCCAACACCTTCCACCCAGCACATCATAAACTGATCAAAAATCCACTTTTTCTTTCTCTTTTTTATTTTTTAATTTTTTTGAGTCAGGGTTGCTACATGGTCCTGGCTGTCCTGGAACTCACTATGTAGACCAGGCTGGCCTCGAACTCAAAGAGATCCGCCTGCCTCTGCTTCCCAAGTGCTGGGACTAAAGGTGTGCACTGCCGCCTTTTTCTTTTGTGTAAAAAGTCAAAAGCATAGAAAATGGTACAGCTTTAAGCATGAAGTGGAAAGTATGAGGAGAGGAGAAACTGGGGACCCTGGCATGGAGTGGAATCTTATCCCCCTTCACCCTCATACATGAAGTAGAGAGCTGAGCTTAGAAGACAAGATCCCAGCTTTCCATATGGCTTGTGGAGAGGGGTGCTTGTGCGTAGGCCTGATGACCTGAGTTGGACCCCAGCTACTCATCACTGTTACAGCTGTCTCTGTCCCCTTGCCATGTGCATGCCGACAAGCCCACATGAAGCGCGGGCACACACACACACACGTTTCTATTTAAATCCTACCCTCACATTAGAACCCCCCAAAGATAGGCTTGGGAGAGTCAATGTATCTCTTTAACTCTCTTTTCAGTGTGGCCACACTGAATAAATCCTTTCCTGCTTTTCAATAATAATTTAGCTTCTTTCGTCTGGTTGGGGTCAGGCGCCCAGGCCCGGCGTGTTGGAGCCACAGGCGGCAGCAAGGTGAGTGGCTGTTAGCACTCCCTGGTAGGAGGGTGGTGGTGTAACTAGACGTTCATCAGGGGCTACCACCACCCACCCGTCTCCCAGGAGAGCGCAGGCGTGTGTCCAGCTTGTGGCCTGTGTCCTTCCTGAGACAGCTGTGCACGTGGCCCTGCACCTTTGTGGATGCTGTCGAAGGACAATGTCAAGAAGTTGAGTTCACCTAGCAGAGTACACAAGATGTGGAAGGTTAATGGAAGGGGCAGGGCAGGGTGGGACGCTGTGCTGCTGCGACGATGCCACTGTCTTCCGGCCACTTCCACGCCTCAAAATCTTCACTCCTGTTCCTGGTTTACAATTCATTGGCTCACCAAGCCTCACTTGAGGGAATTGTTTCTTTGTTCAGTAATCAGCCCCCTAGCTGGGGTGAGTAGACATTTTTTCATGTTTCCCTAGGAGAAGTAGAGTGGTAAAAACATGTACACACACACACACACACACACACACTCTGAAGAAGCTTCTGTTTAGTTTGGAAGATAAAAACCACCTTCTTCGCCATGAGCATCCCTCCTGCCGTGGCCCTCCGACCCATCCCCTGCGCCACGTTCCTGCCTCATGGCGGAGGCCGTTCCTGTGTGTGAAGATGGAAGGATCCTTTATCTCCACCGCGTCACCGCTTTTCTCTGCAGCACAGCCCAGGCACCAAAAGCAGCATCTCTGCCCTTACTGGCAAGATAAGGTCCCTCTGTCATCCCTTTCCCCTTTGCACCAACCTGAGTTGCCATCTTGGTGAGGGAGGCTGAGGTTAAAGGGCTAGGAGACAATGGGACATCCACCTTGGGTGTGGTGGTGGTTTGAGTTAAAATGCCCTCTGTAGGCTCAGAGGGAGCGACGTTATTGGAGGTGTGGCCTTGCTGGAGGGGTGTGGCCTTGCTGGAGGAGGTGTGGCCTTGCTGGAGGAGGTGTGGCCTTGCTGGAGGGGTGTGGCCTTGCTGGAGGGGTGTGGCCTTGCTGGAGGAGGTGTGGCTTTGCTGGAGGAGTTAAGTCTGTGGCGCAGCTTTCAGGTTTCAGAAGCTCAAGCCAAGCCTAGTGGCTCACTCGCTCTGTGCTCTCTGCCTATCCAGATGCAGAACTCTCAGCTCCTTCTCCAGCACCATATCTGCCTGCATGCTGCCATGCTTCCCACCGCGATGATAACAGACTAAACCTCTGAACCGTAAGCCAGCCCCAGTTAAATGTTTTCCTTTATGGGAGTTGCTGTGGTCATGGTGTCTCTTCAAAGCAATAGAAACCCTGACTAAGACAAGTGTTTACGTTCTGTTCAGTCATTAGTTAGCCTTCCTGTGGCCAACACTGTCACCTGCACCTAGAGATGTCCCTAGATCACAGTGTTTTAGGATTTACCTGTTTGTGTTCTCGTGTTTAATTCAGTGGCTCCTGGAAGCCAACAGGGGAGGTCAGGCATGGGACAGTAGGGCAGAGCTGAATTCTGAGACACCAATCTTACCCTGGGCTTGACAGAGGGGGACAAATGCAGGCGTGTCCACAGCATCCCAGGCATGCACTTCCGTCTGCACCCTGCCGCAGCATGGTTTCCAAGTGCTCAAAAGCATGGTTTGGAGGGCTGGCAGAGTTGTGGCTGGTAGGCCTGTTCCCGTCCTTACGGTGGTGGCGCTATGTGTGTGGGTTAGAACTCACGCAACTACACGACATATTTAACAAATGAGAGAGCCAGCAGGATGGAAAACTGGCTCATGCCTGTAACCGGAAGCTGAGGCAGGAGGGCGCTGGGTTCAAGGCTAACCTGAGCTACAAAAAAAAAAAAAAAAAAGTTGTTTTTGTAGAATACCCTGGTTAATAATAATTAGCAAGTTAAAAAGAGGCTACACCCTTTAGAAAATTAGATAATTACCTGGGGCCGGCCTGTTAGCTTGTTCCCAAACCCAGCATGACTCAAAGGGTGTGCCAAAATCTCTGTCCCATTTCCAAGTCTTGGGCAATTTTTCCTTCCTGTCCAGATGAAAGGAAATGTGAACGCAAAGCCTGAACTGTGCCCAGGGGCAAACGGTGAGCCACACTATCGGAGAAGCACAAGTCCCGAGCTGTGCTGGGTGCCCGAGCAAGCTGGCCTGTCTTAGCTGCAGTTGTAAGGCAGGAGAGAGAGGTGCCAAAGCCTTGGGAAAAGCTACCCAAAATTAGCACATTGTTTCAAATCCAGAAGCTGAGCTGGCTCCTCGGAACCCCTGTTTAGAAGCCCGTGAGTAGGGGAGATGGAAGCAAGAGGCCCCGGGCCTCACTGGCTAAGCTAGCCTAGTCGGTAAGACCAGCCGGTGGGAGACCGTGTCTCTCAAAGACAAGGTGGGTGGCGCCTCTGGTCCTCACACACTTGTGAACTAGTGACTGGAGTGTCGGAAAGTAACCTACGGCTCATTGCTACTAAAAAGCACACCCATGAGTGAGGTTGAAGATGCTAGAGAAACGTGGAGCCGAGAGCCGACTGCAGAACCACAGGCAACAGACAGAGCATGTGCGGAAACCCCGTTACAGGCCGCAACCTCCAGCTCTGAACAGCACAGCGTTTGAGCTTCTCTAGCCTTGCTCCAGCCTGGTCCTTAGTGAATTATCTTTGTCGCTGCCAAATTCTTCCTTTGGGGACCCTAGGACCAGAAGCTGGCCCCCTTCTGGAGGTGTCCACAGGGCCCCCCATCAGCCTAGAGCAACAGGAAAGCTGTGGTCTCCTGATTCTGAGGAGGGCGGTCCTGGCTTCGTGAACCTCGGGGCTCCTGCTCAGGCCGCCCGAGCCTGTCTTGTGGGGCAGGCCTGGGGGGTAGGAAGGCTGGCTTCGCTTGCTCCAGGCTTCGTGGTCCCGTCCTGACCACTTTCAGGTGGGTCCACCCGCTCTCCTTTTCCAGACACTGGAAACGAGACCTTGTCTGCTGGCCTCTGGGGACCGGCTCCAGCGGTAGGAGGGGCTTCTGCAGCCCTAGAACCTGCCGGTCCGCAGCTGAAAGCTTTCCTGGTGCGAGGGTCAGGGTGGCGCTGGGGCCTTGCACGTGTCCCTTGGAGGGCGTGGGAGGCAGCACAGTTACTTTACTGGAAGGAGAATGCTAAAAATGTGTGGGATGGAAGAGAGCCCGAGCCGGTAAACAAAAAGCCCTGGGACTCTGAAGGGGGCAGGTGAGGCGGGGGAGGGGCAGGCGGGCGGGGCAGGGGCAGGCGGGGCTGGCCTGGGCCAGCGGGACTCCCTGTTGACACTTTTGCTCACGCTGTGGCAGGTGGATTTTCCCCTACCCGCTGTGAGCAGAGCAGGGAGGGCCGGATCTGTCTCCTTTGGCATTCGCAAGAGCCGGTTTCTCTCTCGGGCTTAATAATTGAGGCCTCTCAGCCTCCTGGGCCCAGGGCCTTCCTAGGCCTGACAGCTGTGCTTTGCCCCCAGGCCTTCTCATACCCTGAGCTCAGCTATGCTGCTAACTGGGCAGCTTCTCTACCTCTGCCTGACTGACCTTCAGCCTTTATCTGAGGTGGGTGTGGGATTCTCTGGAGCCACCCCTCCCCCCAGGCTGGGGTTCACACCGTACTCCCATCCCCCGCTCTCCTTCCCGCGCCCAGACACCTCAGTCTTCCACCTCTGCTCCAGTTCATCTCTCTTCTTACCTGAACTGCTGGCTAAGACGCGGACGGCGTAGCAGAGGGCAGGACTTCAGCCACGGCCTTTGCTTCCCAGACCGTGCGGCGGATGTGATTGGGGTTGGAGGGGGGGGTGCTGGAGCGGGGCAGAGTGCAGCTCTGTTACTGAGCTGTGAGCAGAGCGCAATCCTGGCATTCCTGTCTCAGGCTTGACAGAATAAGAAACCCTTGAGAGAGGCTCCCCAGAGGCTAGTGAGGCCTGTTGCTAACCTGGCTTCTGGATTTCCCAAGATGCATCATCCTGGGACAGGCAAAGGTTTGAACAGAGAAGTCATGGTGTTGGTGTTTCTACAAGGTTCAGAACAGGGGCTGCGGCAGAGTGGGCAGCAGCTATAGCCACAGAGGCAGCCAGCTCAGCAGGGGCCGGGGTTACAGAAGCGTTGACGGCCCGTTAAAGGGCAAGCTGTGGCCTCCTGAAAAAAGAATGGAACTATCGGGGTGGAAAGGTGTGGTTGTGTCTCCTAGCTTCCCTTGAGAGTTAGTAGCGTTGAGCAGTCCATCACCGCGGCAGGGACCTCCCCCAGGAAGGAAGGGAAGCCTGGTTACTTTAAGTTATGCTAAAGCTAGGAGGAAAATGTTTAATAATTTAATGAGATAATGTACTTTTTCTTCCCAGAATTCCTGGCCCCTAGTACAGCCCCCGGAAGTCTCCTTGAGGCTCTGTGGCTATGCCAACCTAAGAGTCTTCCCTTATCTCCTTTTTCTTTCGAGTGCCAGCCAGAGCCTAAATGTACCCGTTCTGGTTCTCTGGGATTCTCGCTTTGTCTGAAGTCCCCTTTCCCTATCTGACATGCAGCTGACTGTCAGCCACGTGGCTGAGTGTCACACCATTCCTACCTATGAATTTATAAGCTTCTCTCTGAAACTCATCCAGTGTGGTCCATCCAATGCGGTTCCTTCTTTGAACTCACGAGAACAAACCCAAAAGCCTGTCTTGGGGAAAAGTTTGGTGGCCATCTAGCTTCTGGGACTCTAGCTCTCCTGTCCTACCCCCAAGCTCCTTTGTTTTCAGAGACACCTGGTATTCCCATATCGCTGTACCAGATGAGAGGTGGGCACAGGTGGTAGGCAATGCAGGGCCTTTGAGAACTCTGGAAACATCCCAGCACAGTCAGGAGGATCAGGGACTGCAGAGGAGACAGAGGTCCCTAGAAGAGCCCCAGAGCCCTTCTCCTGGTGACAGGAACCATCTCAAAGTGACTGAAAATTCCTGGGCCTCTTCAGCAGGGAAGAGCTGGGAGGATCGCCTTGCTGACTCTGGCTCCCAGACAGAACCTTCTGCAAAACAGAGGCAGAGAGAGCGTCTCTCACACAACCCGAGCCCAGCTTCTCAAAAAGCCTCAGTGTGCCTGGGAGTCCTAATGAAATTACTTTGATGGGGTGGTGCTAATTCAAAATGGAGTCAGGCAGGTTCCTCAGTGTAAAAGTACCTGAGGTAACTGTCATCTCTGAGACTTACTGCTGAATAAGCTCACCCTTTCTAGTTCTTTCTGAACTCTAGCTGGCTGGTTCAACTCCAGGCTGACTGAGTCAATCTGGCTTCTCTCACTTCTCACTGAATTGCTCTGTTTGGCCTCAAACTAACTCTTGCAGTTTGTTCTAATCTTCTGGCTCCTTATTCTCTGCCTTCAACTGCCTCTGCATGGACTCACAAACAAACTCAACTCCACTCAGCTGAACTGACTGAAGTGTACCAAACGCAACTCTCCAAAGCGAACCCACTACACCGACTCCTAGCTCACTGGCAATTCAACTGATCTCAATTGATTCCTAACTCACTCTCTCCCTGCACTGTTCTTAAATAGCTTTTCTCCTGAGAGTTGGGAATATCCCAACTGACTCATTCTATCAAATCTTTCTCTGATTTATCAGTTTGTCTGCCCCTCAGTTAGACATCATTGCTTGGGATTAAAGGTGTATACTAAGGTCATGTCTGCATTTCAGCCGGACCACACAGACCTGGAAGGTCTTTGAATGTGATCAGAGCGGCCACGTTGCTGGATTAAACTTCCCCTACATCTCAGGGGGCTCCCAGAGGTCAGCACTTCTTTCAAGAAGCCTCTTCTCATTAGGGAGGTTCCCTATCCCAAGCAAATGGAGCCCGGCCTGCACTGAGCCTCACAGCTGGCGCTACGGTCTCATGAATAGGAGCGGGCATCCTGAGCTAGAAGGCGCCAGGGTTCAGCAGCTGCTCCTAAATGCTCCGTCTCCAACTGTGCTGTCTGCTAATTACTTTTTCTCCAGTCACATTTTCCTCATAAAAGTAACTTTGGGGGACTGAGGAGATGGCCTGGGGGGTTGTGTGCTTGTACAAGCATGAAGGCCTGAGTTTAGATCCCAGGTGCAGTGTGTGATCTGGTCAGTTTGGCACACGCATGCGTGCCCATACACGTGCGTGCCTATGCTAACTGAATGTAAAAACAAACATTACAGTGAAGAAGGGGCAGAAGAGGTGGCTCGGTGTTAAGAGCATTTGCTGCTCTGGCAGATGATGGGGAGAAGGTTATCAGCACCCGAATGGTGCCTCACAACCACCGATGACTCCAGTTCTAGGGGATCTGACGCCTTCTTCTGACTTCCTTGGGTTTCAGGCATGCGCGTGTTGTACATGCTTACTTGCAAGAAAAACACTCATGCACATGAAATTAAATAAACCTACAATAAGTAAAACACACGAGGTAAGATGGACACCGCAGCACCCGCCTTCAGTCTCAGCACTCAGGAGGCAGAGACAAGCAGGTTTTTGAGGCCAGCTTGGTCTACATAACATAGCAAGTTCCAGGCCAGCCAGAGCTGTATGGGGAGACTCTGCCTAAAAGTAAACTAACAAGCCAGGTGTAGTGGTGCACACCTTTATTCTCAGCACCTGGGAGGTAGATGCAGGCAGATCTCTGAGTTTGAGGCCAGCCTGGTGTACATAGAAAGTTTTAGGCCAGCTAATGCTATCCTTATCTGAGATGATGATGATGATGATGATGATGATGATGATGATGATAACTGGGGAAGACACTCAATATCAGCCTCTGGCCTCCACATACTTATGATACATGAGCCTACATGTGCACGAACATATACACACAAACACACATTCCAAAATCGCGTGGCAGCATAGACTGTGATTACATTTTTACCAAACGCTCGAAGCCTGTGGGTGGAAGGTTAGTGTTTCCCTAGAGCTAGAGGTGGTGATACTAAGAGCTGAAGGTTACAGTTTCATTTTCGGGGGGGTAGAAGTGTTCTGAAGTTGATTGTGAACAGGACTGCGCTACTTGGAAGCCCCTAACAACCAGAATGCACATGTTGAGGCCTTGCTAGAGTGGAGGGAGGACGGAGCTCACCTGTCCCCTAGCTCAGACCTGGGCACTGAAAGGTGAAGGCCCCCTCTTGGCAGTGGCGAGGAAAGGCCTCTGTTCAGAGAAATCGCTGAGAGACTTCTGCTGCCTCTCTCCTGTCCGGGTGGGAGCTTGAGCCTCCGGGAAGTCTCCACAAATGTCTGTGTGTTAAGATGCTGATTCCCCTTACTTGCTGGAGCCGGTGGCCTGCGCTCTGGGGCTGCTCAGTTCAGCCTGGCAGCAGCATGCACCAGGCTCCATTTCCTCCAGTGAACCACTTTATGCCAGGAAGAGAATTAACTTCTCTCCCAGTAATCCCCCAGCTGCGGTCCTGGAGCCCTTAATGTTTGAGGACCAGGGCAGGCTCTGGGGTCCACGAAGCAGAGAATGCCCTCCTTATTCCTGTGCGCAGCCACGGCACTGGGCATTGCCTGTGTGGCATGCAATGAAGACGGTGCTGAGTGATGAGCGAGTGAATGCATGGTTTTAGCTGCATGCCACTGGCTATTTCTTTTTGTCTCGGGGTCAGCCAGGACGTTTGCAGGCTGGAGAAGAGAGAAGGGTGTGGGCCCTTTACTTTTGCTCCTTGTCAGCTCAGACAGGGCTCTGAATTATTCAGCAGTTCATTTCACAGTGCCTCTTTGGGAAGGCGGCTGGCTCTTTGGCCACCCCCATCTCCCAGCCTCCATGGACAAAAGCACTTTCCATTTTATTTCAGCACTGCTTTCTCTCTCCCTCTACATCATTCTGGCCCAGGAAGAAAGAGCAGGAAGCAGCTGGAAGGATGTTTTTGCATTTTCAAGTTAAATGTGCCCAGATTATTATATAGCTGGCTCCCAGGAGAGCCACTGCACGCAGGCCAAGTGTTTCTTAGAAATCCTAAAGGGGTGTGGCTACACTCTAGGCACATACTCTGCCCTCAGAGGCTAGGTTCTCAGAGCCTTCCCCATTGCTTCTGGGGAGGGGCTGACTCTCTAATTCTCTTGCTGTCTCTTCCCTCAGATGCCCCAAAGCCAGGATTTCGCTGAGCTCACACCTGAGTCACCAGCCGGGCTATCCAATCCTGTCTTCTGTAATCAAAAGTTTGAGCTGATCCCAAGTTGACTTCAGATAGGCTAGGCACACCCAGAACACGGAAGTGTTGTGTGTCATGGCATCTATTTAAGAAGCTGATGGCTCCCTGTCACTGATGGCTCTGCCCTTATGAGGCCACTACACTGAACTGACAGCTCCTAACAATCTGTGAGGTCACCTCACGATCAGTGGATGTGCCCTGCCTTTCTTACTAGCCTCTGCAGTCTGATACAGTAAGCAGGCCAGGAAGTGAACTGTGCCTTGTTTTCTGGGTTGTATTCATGATGACAAAATGAAGCATGTTAGTTAGGGTTTCTGTTGCTGTGAATAGATACCATGACCACTTCAACTCCTGTTAAGAAGAACATTTAATGGGGGCTGGCTTACAGGTTTAGAGGTTTAGACCATGTTGTGGAAAGTATGGCAATACACAGGCAGACGTGGTGCTGGAGAAGAAGCTGAGAGTTCTACTCAGACTGGCAGGCAGCAGGAAGAGAGAGTGATGCTGGGCCTGGCTTGAGCATCTGAAAACTCAAAGCCCACCCCCCAATGACACACTTCCTCCAGCAAGGCCACACCTCCTAATAGTGCCTCTCCCTATGAGGCTTCAGGGGCCATTTTCCCTTCCTTATGGAAAGTCAGAGCCATTTTCTGGGGGCTTGGGTTTCCTTTGCCCGAAGAGATGGCTTTGTTTCTTTTCCTTCTTTCCTTCCTTCCTTCCTTCCTTCCTTCCTTCCTTCCTTCCTTCCTTCCTTCCTTCCTTTCTCTCTCCCCTCTCCCTCCTTCTATTTCTTTCTTTCAAGGTTTGTTTATGTTATTTTGTGTGTATAAGGGTTTTGAGTTGTGTACCACAGTCATGCCTAGTGCCAGCAGAAGTCAGAAGAGGTGGGGGAGTTACAGAGGGTTGTGAGTAGCCATTGTGGGTGCTGGAAATGGAACTTGGGTCCTCTGAAGAACAGCAAGTGCTCTTAACCACTGATACATATCTTCAGCTCCAAGGATTTCTGTTCATCAAGTTGGTAAAACACCCAAGCCGTCATCACTGCTGAGCCTCTTCTAATATGATTTTTTGAAATGACATTCTCGTATCTTTTTCTGCTAAAGCTGTAGACACATTTTTGTTGTTGTTAGTTTTGAAGCCAAGCTTTGTTTAGAAAGGCTTCCCCTCTACTGAGTGTTAGGATTTTGGAACAAAACCTGCTTCTGGGTTCCCTAGCAACTTATGACGTCATCATGTGTCACTGGCCAGGTGGCCACACCTGGAAGGCGTGGTTACCTTGCCCTTTAAGGGGACAACCCGACACGTGGTCTCTCTCTCTTGGTCCTTTCACTATTGGGGCGCCCCTCTTTTTCCCCGCTCTCTCTTTCTTTCCCCCATCATGTCCTGCCCTCCCTGCTCTCCCTTTTCTCTTTCCATATCCACCTAGTAAACCTCTTTTATATATAAGATCTGTCATATGCCTAATTGTCTTTATTTAATTTTGTCCCATAACCTCACACTGAGAAGCAGTGGAGACCACACAGAGAGTTCTCATAGACCTTTCACGGGCCCATGATGTCTGGCTCTTTCTGAGCCCTGAGCCTGGCTGCATCTCCTTATTTCACCAAAGAACCTGTGGCCTGACTCCATGAGGTAAGCTTGCTCAAGGTCAAGAGAGTGTGGCAGTCACCTGAGAGGGGATACTCTCTTCCTGGTGAGGTTTTCAGGCAGAGGGTAAGACAAAGAGGCCATGGCCCATTTGTGCCTGTTTACAGGACAGCGGCTGTGTGTTTGGTGGACTTTGACCTCAGACTTGCTTTCAGTGTAGCAATAGCCTGGGAGGATGTCAATGTGGCCCTTGGCGGATTCCATATCTGAGGGTTGCCAAACAGTCAAATGAGCTGAGGTCAGCTCACATCAAAAGGAAAGGAGGAAAGCATGTAGGCAAAATGAAGAGAGATATTGCAGAGTTGCCTTGAAAAACCGCCTTCCCGTTTAGGAGAGTCTGACCTGCATCTGGCCGCCACTGAGGGGAAACTCTGCAGGCCGGGACATGACTGAGGCAACCTCCTCCTCATGGGTCCCACCCAGCCACTGACACACTGCTAGCTTAGATCTAGCCCTGCTCTTTCCCTCTGTCAGACTCAGCTTTTCTACGATGATCAGGACAAACCTCGAATGTTTTTTCTCCTTCTGCTAACTCATGCCTTAGGCTCACACTTTTCCAGGAAAGGAACAGCAGCTGAATGGGTGTGTGCAGTGCAGGGCGGCTGAGTATTTGCTCTTGAGGGGCTCCACAGGAGGCAAGGGAGAAGTGAAAGCCAACTTTATCTGGGTGGGGATGGGGGGGTTGGATTGAGACAGGGTGTCATGTAGCCCAGGCTGGCCTCAAATTCACTGTGTAGCTGAGGACGATTTTAACTTCTGATCTTTCTGCCTCTTCCTCCCAAATCCTGGGATTACAGGTGTACACTCCCATGCCCACCATATTCTGGTCTTTTATGAATTGTTTTGCAAGCATCTCTTACTGTTGTTCATATCAGAAATGTGGAAAGACAAAAAAGAAGACAAGAAAGTTCCATGAACTGATAGAGTAGGGCTGGCAAGACGGCTCAGTGGGGGACGGCACTTGCCACCAAGGCTGATGACCTGATGATGTCTAGAGCCACATAGAAGAGGCCTGACTCCCAGAAGTTGTCCCCTGACCTTTACACCCGTGCTGTGGTCTGGGTGAGCCACCCTCACTCCAAATAAAAAATATTAAATGTAATTAAATAAAACCAAACCAAACAGAAACAACACACACACACACACACACACACACACACACACACACCTGAGTAAATATTTCTCCAAAAATCATTAAATGACCGAAAAGCTCATGAGAAGTTCTTGGCATAATTAATACTTAAGAAAATGCTGATCAAAACCACAGTGCAGGGGCTGGAGAGATGCCTCAGTGGTTAGGTACACTCTCTGCTCTTCCGGAGGGCCTGGGTTCAATCCCCAGCACCCACATGGCAGCCCACAACTGTTTGTAACTCCTGTTCCAGGGGATCTGACACCCTCACCCACACGTGCATGCAGGCAGAACACCGATGTACATGAAACAAACAAACAAACACAGTGTAGACATGGGGTGGGGGGAGGAAGGGAGGAACCAGTGCTGTGTAGGGAGGACATGGATTTGGAAATGATGGGATCATGTGTATTACTCGTCAAGGCAGCTTTGGTGGAGAACAGCTGGGATTGCTGTAAATGTCAGACAAGTCTGTCATCCTAACACCTGGGAGGCAGAGTCCGGAGGAGCTTGAGTTCGAGGCCAGCCTCAGCTACAGGAAACCGTATTGCAAAAATGCAGTCCAGCAATTCCATTTCTTAAATCCCGAAGAACTGAATATAATGTTTGTATAAAAGGGGCTCGAGCCAGGCATGGCAGCACATGTCTCCTGCACCGAGGAGGCAGAGGCAGAGGCAGGAGGATCAGTAGTTTGGTGCTAGCTGGGCTCTCTCGTGAGTTGCCGTCTCAAACAAACAAAAATAAATAAACAAAAATCTGCAGTAAAACAGGACAAATGATCAAATGTGGCATACGCACTTAATGGGATGCCAAATAAGCATAAGAAGAAATCACTGATGCGTGCTGTGACGTGGACCAACCTTGAATACATTAAACCAAAACCAGCCAGACACAGAAGGTCACACATTGTGTGACTCTGTTTACCCCCATCCCCAGAACAGCCTAGTTTATAGAGAAAGGATGTGGATTAATGGTGTCCGGGGACTAGGGGGAGGCAACTGCTCATGGATATTCAGGCCGTTTTTCTGGCATGAAAAGGGCCTGATGAGGTGTGTTGCAGTGACAGAGGCACATCAAATGAGTATCCTAATACTCTGTACCGTCCATTTCAAGTCGGTTAAGGTTTCAGTGTGTGAATGATATGCTAAAAGCATACTCTACACATGCACCAGTCATAAACGATCGATATTTGGTGACGGTATTGGTCCATTTGTTGCTGCTATAACAAGATATCTCAGCTTGGGTAGTTAATAGAAGTGGAAATTCACTGGCTCCCAGTTCTGGGGGCTGTGATCAAGCATGATTAAAGGGCTGGCATCTGGGGGGTGTTGTAGATATTTCATCTCACTGTGTACTCCGAGATTGTGTTTATTGGAAAAACCTGTGTCCACTGTGGTGCGGCTCAGCCCTAGCACACACCTTTAATCCAAGAGCGTTCTGCTTGAGTATTGTAAACAGGATTAAATAAAGTCAACCATAGGTCAAGAGGTAGAGCAAGTAACCACTAGACAGGGAGTGAAATTTAGGAAAAAAAAAAAAAAAAAAACCCTGAGAATAAGAAGTCAGGAGGACAGGTAGACAAACAGGAAGTAGAAGGGAAGGACACTGAGTCTGAGAAGGACAGCTTCCTTTTGGGAGGATGGCTGAGGAGGAAGCTGGGTGCTTTTTCAGCCTCTCTGCGCTGACAGGCTTTCACCCCAGCATCTGGCTCCCAAATCTTTCTCTGAACAATTGAGATTTTGTTAAAAACAATAGAAGAGCCTTCTTGCTGCGTGAGTCATTCATGGCAGAAGGTGTTGGGGAGACAAAGGGTGGGACAAATCCGTCTTTTTAGAAGGAAGCGGTCTCTGTAGTTTGGATCTTGAACAGCCCCCAGAGGTTATCAGTTTCCAGCACTCTGCAGAGATGGTAGGCTCTTTAAGAGGTGGGCCCTCGTGGAAGGCTCTGGCTGAGTCACCAGAAGAGGTCTGGCTCTTTGCTTCCCAGGACACCACAAATGAGGTGGTCTCCTCTGTCACACATTCTCACCATTACACAAGGGGCTGCCACAGACACAAAGCAACGAGGCCAACTGGTCACAGACAAAATCCTATCGGTCACTTTACATTTTCTAGAGCCTTTCCCCCTGCCATCACGGAGCACCTATTTATTATCAATTAGCTGTTTGAATTATTTTGTTATGGACTGAGTCTTTTGATAGTTAATTTAAATGATTATACACCTGTGTTATTGTGTCCTTGTTCACTCTTCACAGTGTCCTGAGAGAGAGAGCTCACAGATGAGAAAACGGAGTCTCAAAGGTCTTCACAGCTGTAAGTGGTAGCAGCAGCGTTGACACTTACACTGAACCCCTACTCTTAAGTGGGACCACGCCTGGCTTGTGGTTTTTGAATCTCCCCTTCCACCATGTAGGATGTGTTAGCTGTGCCCATGCAAGATGACTACGTCAGCAACCATGCAGAAACTCACTGTTAGGATTTAGACAAAAATGCCACACACACAGCCAATCTTAAATCCAATGAGGTTTACTGGATGGAGATGGAGATGGAAAGAAAGAGGGAAGAAGAGAGAGGGAGAGAGAGAGAGAGAGAGAGAGAGAGAGAGACATAGTAGGTGGGCACCCTGACAGAGAGAGGGGAGAGAAAGCAAGAGAAGGGAAGAGCAAGAGAGCAGGAGGAGGGGGAGGGAGTGGCCGATAGGTCACTACGTGCCTGGCCGGGTGATGTCATAGGACACAGGTACTGACATAGGACGTTGTCAGGACCCTGAAGGTCCCTAAGGGAGGGCCAGCTGAACTGCCTGCACAACATAACACTCACTCCTTTTAACTGGCCAAAATTTAGTTTTTAGAAACTAGTTTTTAGAAACATCCCCTATGTCTAAGAGAACACCAAGGGGCCGGAGAAATGGCTCAGTGGAGAGATAAGAGCACTGCTTTCGCAGAGGACCTGGGTTCAGTTCAAAGCACTCACATGGTGGTTTACAACTGGCTGTAACTCCAGTTCCAGGGAATTTGACACCCTCCTCTGGTCCCCTCATGTACATGGTACACAGACATTAGTGCAAAATGAACATACATATGAAATAAAGTTACAAGTTTTTAAAAAATTGACCCCCCTTAAAAAACAAACAACAGGGGCTGGAGAAATGGATCAGAGGTTAAGAGCACTGGCTGTTCTTCCAGAGGACCTAGGTTCAATTCCCAGCAACCATATGGTGGCTCACAACCATCTAAAATGAGATCTGGTGCCCTCTTCTGGCCTGCAGGCACACATACAGGTAGAATACTGTGTACATAATAAATCAATCAATCAATCAATCAATCAATCAATCAATCTTAGGAACAAACAAAACCCCACCAGGCCCTGAGGAAATATCTGCCTTGGCAAGAGGCCCTTTCCCCCAAGTCCATCTGGGTGACTCTTGTTGGAAACCAGTTTCAATTGAGGATGACTCTCAGGAACCGGGAACAACCAAATGTTCAGAAAAACAACGGCATTTCTTTTAATTGTGAGTTTGCCTCCAAACTACCAAAATGGATTGTGTTTTACTGGTGCAGTTGGCAATTTTCCAGAACAACTTCAGACTGGTGTGTGTTTAGAAGAGTCCTGTCACTGAAGTGAGAGCAGCCGTGTCCATCTTCAGCGTGCTGCAGAACTGAGGGCGGGCAGGTGCAGAGAAAGCAGTGGTCCAGTGCTGAGGGCTGTGTCGCCTTCCGAGAACTCTCCCCTCTCCCTCTCTGCTCTGGAAGGAAGCTAGCTAAACCCACTGGCTTCCCAGGGTGACTTGGTGGAATCATACCTTGACTTGTTCCATCGTCCCCAGGGAACGAATTCTAGCATCACAGATTGTGCTGTACAGATGTCTCTCTAGCCAACATATGGCGCAGGAAAGGGTGAGCAACGCTCTCCTGAGACAGTCCTCACTCTTACGACAAGAGCCTGACCTTGTACAACAGCTGGAGTTGGTGCTGTTGGGTTACAGAGCTCCCTGCCCTCCCGAAGCACGCACTGAGAGAGGGATGCTCCGGGAAGGTGGAGTCCTCCTGATGCCAGCGTCTAGGCATCTGGAAAAGAGTATTTTCACTTTCGTGTTTTCATTGATGGTTGTTTTAAGATGTCTGAGGAGTCTGGGAGGGTGCTCCTCCATGCAGAGTTAAGGAGGAAAGACCTGTATAGAAAAGAGGGAGCAAGTTGACCTCATTAACACTCAGGGTGTGCTCCAAGCTGCTCTTAGCTGTGACAGCTCTGGTGAGGGGGTGGGACCAAGAGGAGAACAGCAAGTTCATCATAGTGTTTTAGACTCCACTCCTGCACAGGGCCCCATCTGACAAGACTGGAAATCAAAATGGAGTCACTCATGCTGTTCTGGCTCCCTGTTCTGGCTTTATGAGGAAAGTAACCCTGGAGTAACCCTGGAGTGGCCAATCAGCTCCTTGTTCGGTGATTCTGCCTTGGTTCACCTTAAACAGGCTGTTTGTTGCCTGATTCTAGAATCACAAATTAAGGCAATCCCGACCTTGAAATTAAACTCTTTATCATTTATTCTTTAACAATTAATTTCTTAACTTTTTGAATATTATGTTTGGGTGGAGGGATATGCAGAAGGAACATAAGCATAAAAACAGGGTCTTGGCTGGGTGTGGCGACACACACCTTTGAACCCCATATGGGGAGCCACAGGCAGGTGGATCTCTGTGAGTTACAGGCAAGCCAGGTCTCAATGGTGAGTTCCAGGACAGCCAAGGCTGCAGAGTGAGACCCTGCTTCAAAACAAAAACCCTAGAGGTTCCCAGTAGAGGCTGTTTCCTGCATCGAGCGATGTCTCCAAAGGGCGAGTACCCGCTGCTGAGGCCACAGCGACCATCCTGGGCTTCCTTCCTAGTGTTCCACCAGCTATGTAGACAGTGGTGCCTGTTTAGCTGCCAGCGTCAGAGCCTCTGCCACCCCCAAAGACAGGACTACAGAGGCTGCTCCTGGTGTGTTCTCTTCCATCACTGCCTCCCTCTCCCCAGGTTACACAGGACCTATCTCCACCAGAGCCCAACAGTGTCCTGTCATCTTCACTGTGAGACTCAGCTGTGACTGCCGTTTCCTTAGACTTGGGTTTTTTTCTCTTTTTTAAGCCTTTTAATTGTTCTTGGTTTTACGAGACAGGGTTTCTCTGTGTAGCCCTGGCTGGCCTCTATAGACCAGGCTGGCCTCAGACTCCTAAGCAGAGGGATTAAAAGTGTGTGTGCACGGGGCTGGCCTCAGACTCAGAGATCCGCCCGCCTCTGCCTCCTAAGCAGAGGGATTAAAAGCGTGTGTGCCCTGCCACGCCCTGCCATGCCCAGCGGGGAGTTGCTCTTTAACCCTGGCGATTGCTGGACTTCTCTTTGTGTGGCCAGCATTCTAAGTTCCCAAACCAAGTTCCCCAAGCAGCTTCGAGGGACAGGACTGACAAAGACCAAGAGAGGTAACGTGCACTAGTCCACAACCCCCATCTCCCGGGTTCCGTGAGACAGCTCAGGCCTTCCTGCCTTCGAGAGCCTTTGGCAGGACCTGCTCACAGACCTCAGGCTAGGCCACGTGGACGCTGTTTCTTCCTGTCATTTTCCCTTTCTTCCACGCCTCTCAGCCATACTCTCTAGGGCTGTCTCTATGAGCTGAGGGTTCTTCCCGAATTTCTGGGCAGTGCAGTTCAAGATCTCCTAGGGGCCCAGAAGCCGCCAACTCCAAACACCCCCCCTTTGTGTAGCCCCGGGGCTGTATGGTGCCCAAGAGGGCAGCAAGGCCTTTTCCTGAAGAGGCCCTCTACTGCCGTCAGAACTGGACACTTCTCTAGACTGGTCTTGGGGGTGGGGAGACAGTGCAGGGCTTCCGGTGCTGCGAAAGCCGTCTGCCCCAAGGCCCTCTTCCTGGGCCTTTCACTCCTGTGGCCCTGGCTGTTGATTTCCAAGGGCTACTGTGTGAAACAGAACCTGACAAAGCCTGGGAGAAAAATCCCATCAAGTTGTACCTTCCAGCAGCTCCTGTTTTTTAAATCACAGTTTCCTTTTTTAACCACACATGGGAAACAACCGTAAAAACATAGACAGCTGGAAGGAGGGAGGGAGGGAACAGGGACTCTTTTGTGTCATGTGGCTCTCCAAGAAATTGTTCCTAAATTTATCACACACACACATATAGTTTGTTTGTTTTGTTTTGTTTTTGAGACAAGGTCTTTGTAACCCTGACTGTCCTGGAACTCATTATGTGACCAGACTGACCTGGAGCTCACAGAAATCTGCCTGCCTCTGCCTCTCAAGTGCTAGGATTAAAGGCACGTGCTGCTGTCTGGCGTAAACTTATCATATTTTTAGTTTCTCTTAGAACACTATGCAGCCTAAGAGTTTCCCTTTAGAAGAAAGACTGCTTTTGAGAGGCAGGACGGGCTTCTTCCTGGTGGTTTGTGTCCTGCATTCAGCCTAAGGACACGAAGCCACATAAGGAAGGGCCTTGAGTAGTTGTTCTGGCAGCAGCCATGGAACCTGTCAAAGCAGCCATGGCTCCTGTGGCTGCTACCAACTCCATCTCCACTCTTCAGGCAGCAAAGACATCAAGGGACAGTGAAGTTTTATGTTACACTTTCTGAAACTGAAACTTCCTAACTTTAAGATACGCTGAGACCTCCTTCCCTCACATGCTCTTCTCTCCTGGTGTGCTCTCAACGGCCACACTGCTGCCCTTCCCGTGGTAGGTCAGCCCTGCTGCCACCTGCCTGTCTCAGTTGGCTGAGCCTGTCACAGATACCACAGACCTTTTTCACTGTTGAAGCGGGATGCAAGATCCGGTGCGGCAGGTTCCACCGTTGAATCCCTCTGGTGTTCCCTCACTCAGGGGCTAAGCCCACCGGAGGACACTGCCCTCACAGTTAGCTCCCAAAAGCCTTGGTGCGACATGCAGGGGTCGGAGCTTCAGCCTGAAGTGGCAGGGCGAGCAGCAGGGTGGCCCCTTCCCAGCCTTTGCGTAGTCCCTCCGATTCCCACCCACGTGATGTGAAGACCGAGACTGCCAGGTGTGACTGGACCCCTGCCAGAGCCCCTCTTATCTTCCAGGACTCGAAGCAAGAATGAAATCATTACCCTGAACGTGAGCGGTTCTTGACAGCTCTGCTTGAGGGCCCCAAGTATAGTGGGCTGTGGTGTTCTGTCTTTAAGAAGGGCCCTGAAGAAAAGCCTCCCGGAGGAGTAAGATGGTGACACTTGAAGCTGTCCCAGGCGGCTGTATAGAGCATGCATTAAAATGCACAGTGACTGTCTATCCTGCGCACTCGCACGCACGCACGCACGCACACACACTCTGCTTCTGGACTGTTTCTCATAAGCACGATCTGTCACTAGGAAAGCGCAAGATCAAACATGGCTGTGACGTGTTTCTGATTCCAGCCAGGGGAGAAGGTGGCGGGCAAGCTCTGGTCTTTTAAACTCTTGTCTCTGTTGTTATGGTGTTGATGGTTCCATTGTTTATATGCGATTATTAAATAATTTCAGCCAACATTTATTGAATTCTTCACATGTGCCCAAATATTTAATCTTCATAAAAAGTCTCATGAGATAGATGTTTTTATCCATGAAGCCACAGAACATCAGCTGATCTGATTTCCTTCTTGGCTTTCAGGTTCTGAGGTGAACATCTGTAGAAGTCTTTGCTGTTGTTTGGTTGGTTTTTAAACTTTTTAAGATTTTATGTATATGGGTGCTTTGATTCCATGTCTGTACACCATGTACCTTCAAAGGCCGGAAGAAGGCACTGGACTCCTTGGGACTAAGTTAGAGATGGTCATGAACCACCACATAGGAGCTGGGAACTGAACCGGCATCCTCCGAAAGAGCAGCAAGTGCTCCTAAGTGCTGCCGTGTCTTCTGCCCTTTGGGTTAGGAATGTGCTACCATGTCCTCTAAGGGTTGCCACTGAGATGAAGAAAGAAAAGTGAAGAGACAGACTGTGACACGGAGCCTCAGAGACAGAACGAGTGAAATCAAAATAAGGATGTGGAGGAGGGTGAGAGGGGAGGAAAATAAAGATAGATAGGAGATGGGGACAAATGAGGGGGTTGGCAAGGGCAGGTCAGAGGAGAGGAAGGGCCATGGCCATGAGGGAAGGAGAATTTGAGGCGAGAGCAGGACATTTGGAAAGTATCTTTCAGGTCTGGTGGGAACCTTACTCTTTTTCTCCCCATCCAGGAAAACCGCGGTAGGGAATCTCACCAGCAGATACCAACAGGTACAAGCTGCCATCAGTGGCCTCAATAAGAAGGGTGCAGAGTGAGAAACGGGAGGGGGAGGGGGAACCCACTGACACGAGTGCCATTTGTTGAGAAGATGTGCCACTTTCAGAGAACTGGAGCACATTTACTCGTGGTCAGATTTACATCTTCTTGATTTGGGTTTTATTTGGTTTGTGATCTGAAACTGGCTGGAATTACAGGTCTGTTCCCGAAAGCCTGGCTTTATTTGTTTTGTACCGGTAACTGCAGAGCTGAGCTGCCGGAGGCACAGCTCAATGGAATGGCCCTTGCTTAGTGAGTTCCAGCCCCTCAGGTCAATCCCTGGCACTGCAGATCTCAGCCACAGCTGTTTCATAAAAGAGAAGACTGGGCTGGGCACGGTGGCAGACGACTTTAATCCCAGCACTTGGGGTATGGCAGCAGGAGGATCTCTGTGATGTAGAACAGCCTGGTCTATGTAGCAATTTTCACTCTAGCCAGGGCTACCTAGTGAGACCCTGGTGGGGCGGAGGGAGCCAGTGTGAATGAACACGAAAAATCATACAAGCATGAACTGGAGCCTTGAGGGACAGCCCAGCAGGTAAGAGCACTGGCCGCTCTTCCGGAGGACCCAGATTAACTTCTCAGTGCTATGGTAGCTCACAGCTCTCTAACACCGGTTCCCAGGGGGTCATAGCTCTCTTCTGGCCTCTTCAGGTACTACATGCATGTGGCGTGCATATAAACACACGGGTAAAATACTCACGCGCCAAGATTCTAGCCCCAGGCAGCTCGGTTCCCAAACAGTGCGCTTCACAAAGTCCAACATTTCTATTTGACAAAGAGTCATTGGTCAAGCAGGATTTTATCAGATCGTGGTAGTAATAAAATTACCTTTTTTGTTTGTTCGAGTCAGAGGTTCTGTGTTGCCAAGACTGGCCTCCAATTCACTTTGTAGGTCACGATGACCTTGAACTCTAGATTCACCTGTCCCCACCTCCCAAGTGGCAGGATTACAAGTGTGGACCACTATGCCTGACTACAAAGGTGGGTTTTGAGTTTAGAAACTGCTGTTTAGTCTGGAGAAAACAGAAAATGAAGCCCTGGACTTTGGGTTTAGAATTCCTTTCTCCTCTTTGAAGTTATCATGAGTCAGATAAGGATAGGGAGGTCAAATACACTAATATCTACCAGTAAGACCTCAAATCAGATCTTTCGCCACCATAAAACAAGTATTTTCCTTCAGCCTCAACAGAAAGGAAGCTGTTTTATGACTCACAGAGGTAGAAGAATGCCAACCAAGGCCTAAGACCAAGGTTAAATATGTTAAATGTCAATAGATCAACAGACTGCGTCTGTGGGAAACATTGTCCAACCTCTGTGATTCTTCCAACAGCTCTGACTGCTGGCTTAGAGCAGCCACCCAAAAGCTTTGCTCCCCAGTCCACACTGGTGGCGGTTGGTGGTGGTGGGTTTTGTTGTTGTTGTTGTTGTTATTTTTTTAAGACAGCAGCCTGGCTGTTTAGGGTCGACAGGTTCTTTTAGGGCTCTATATGAATCGTTGCCAACAGCAAACACAGGAAGCAGTCTCCTCGGTCTGTCTCCTCCAAGCCACCCTACAAAGCACTCTCCCATGTCTCTCCAAACTGCCACACTTTCTCTTTCTGGACTCTCGTTTCTATCCCTCAGAATCCTAGACCACACCCCTCTCCACGATGCAGGAGGCAGGCCGTTACCAGCTGGCAAAGACCACACCACAGAGGAGACAACTATCAGTTCTAGACAAACTAAAGCCCAAACTAAAATCCCACACTTGGGGTTAAAACAAAAACACATTTATATGACATAACTGAGTTTTTAAAGAAAGCAAACTTGCATTACCAACCAGCTCACAGAGATCCTCCTGCCTGGGCCTCCTGAGTCCTGGGGTTAACGTGGTGTTCCACCAAGACTAGCTCATACTGGCTCTCTAATAAGCTGTCCCATGCCATGCGTGGTGGCACACCTTTGATTCCAGCACTCAGGAGGCAGAGGCAGGCGGATCACTGTGAGTTCAAGGCCAGTCTGATCTATGAAGCGAGTCTGGGACAGCCAAGGCTACACAGAGAAACCCTGTCTCAAAAACCAAACCAAACCAAAAGAAAACAAAAAAGCCGCCCCATTCTTATGAATACCTCTCTCCCAAAATGCTTCCCCATACCCACCCAGTCAAAACTGTGCAAGATGGTATCCAAACAGATCTGTCTTTTCTGTGAATTGCTCCTAAAGCTTCTGACAGAATTAATGGCTTTTTTTCCTAGAACCTCATCATCATTCTAATTTTCTTTCCCCTTATTTTACAAGAAGGAGTACATCTCTTAATGAGATGTTTGTCTCTCTGAGGACAGAGATGTTGGGAACAAGCAAAGGAAACTTATTCTAGGTACCACCATTTTGTCTTCATCTCCATCCAACCATAGTGAGAAACTAAGTTCAAGGTCTCAGGCCCTAGGGGAGCTGAGGACTTCCCAATAGCTGAACAGCTGCTGTTGTAAGGAGACAGTTGTCTGCGCCCAGACATCTCAGGGACAACTTTTTTTTAAGGAGACAATTGTCCAGCCATCCCAAGAACAACTTCTCCATCTTGCTGGCAGGGTCAAACTAAGTTCATATTCCCAGGCTCAGAAACCTACTCCTGTCCTGATTAATAAAAACTCCCTTGCTCAACCCCTATGCCAAACTATGACTGGACAGTGCTATGGCCCACCCTCTCCCCCTTAATTTATGCTTTCGTCCTTTAAATACGCTGCACAACATTCTTTTAGGGTTCCAGTTCAGCTCCCAAGTCTGTTCTGCAGTCCTGATTGATTAGTCTTGGCTTGGTTACAATACGTAACATTTGCGTGGACCTGGTGTTTGAGTCATGCTGGATCTAAGTGGGTCCCACAACAATGTAATGCGCATTGTATTGGCAAGTCGTCTTGGCGATTGAGCTCTAACCATGCTGGCTCTTCAAGAAGAGTTGCTTCTCTCCCACTTTAGACCAAAGCCTGTTTGTCTCAGAGTGCCCTTTGTTTGGGGTTAGGTGATAGAGAGGAGGGCACCAAATTAGCCCATGTAAAAACACTTTTTTTTTTCCAAGACAGGGTTTCTCTGTGTAACCTTGGCTGTCCTAGACACGTAGACCAGGCTGGCCTCGAACTGAGGGATCCACCTGCTGCTGCCCCCCAAGTGCTGGGATTAAAGGCTCCATCATGCCCAGCTCATTGTATTCTGGAGAAGAGCTGGAAGGAACATCATGTTGATCAGAGGTTATCATTTTGCCTCCATTGGTATAGAAATGGAGTAGGAACAGGACCCCGGAAGCTCAATCTTCGGAAGCTCCTCCACAGAGAGAAAGCTTAATCAGTCCTCCAGTGGCAGCCTCAAGCTTTCACCGAAGTATTTTCCGCAGGATGTTTGTGAGCTCCTGGTTTGACGTTAGGCTCGTTGCTGTGTTTGCTCTCTCAGTGTCCCAGCCGTCCTTGCTGCGTATTCCACGTGCCTGCTGGCATGACGTCTTGGTGCCTGTCTGCTGCTTCTGTTTATCCGCTACTTGCTGTTTGTCTTTACTTTTGTTTGTTGTAGCCTTACTAATCCCGCTCATTCAAAACCCCAAGGATTATGTTATAGCTCATTCTCTGGGCCAGACCGGAGGGCAGACCTGATTCATTGTTTGCTTATTGGCTTTTTAATGAGATAATGTTTTTAAAACTTGGTTACAATGACTGGTGTGTGATTTGAGAAAGGTAGAAGAGACCCAGAGCCAGGCCCTCCATCCCACCCCTGGTTAATGGTGGGATTGGATGAGTGAGAACTATGATCCTGCTCCTCAGTGTGGCCCTGCTCACGTGCCCCAGCGGTTAACCTTTGTTCTTTGTCTGTGACAGGGGCTCAGGGGGCACAGGCTGGCATGAATTCATTATTAGCCGAGACTGGCCTTGAACTCATGAGTGTGCTGCCTCTCATGCCCAGCTCTAGCCAATGATCTTGACAAATTACAGCAACAACAAGCAAATTTTTAAAAGTACAGATGCTGCTCAGTTTACAATGGAGCTATGCCCAGATAAACCCCTCGTAAATAGAAATAATCATGAGCTAAAAATGCATTTAGTGTCTTCTGTTCACAACTCGCTGCAGCCCACAGGCCACGCGTGTCTATGGTAGCTATGAATGTGGCCTACCACAAGATTCCAAGCTTATTACAAACATTACAAAGCGGGCTTTTAGTTTATTTTTGACAAGCCAGTTGTGATGAGAAAATGAGCATATGTGCGTGGTGTTCAGCGTGCTGTGTTATCTTCCGAGCACAGGCAGCTAATTTGACATTACCTTTGCTTGGGGAATGAAATGGACTGTTTGTCAATATAATAGCTAATTTATTAGTTTAACTTATTTGCTTTAGAATAACCTATTGCAAACATTTATGTCATTTAGAAGGCGGTGTGCATTCCTGATCGTTGAGGGAGCTTTCACTTCCCCACCTCACCCACCATACCCAGTGCTTTCCCCTGGGTCCTCCGCTTCCTGCTGCCTTACCTGCTGGAGTGTGGGAGGGCCTGAGCCTGCTTCCTATCTTCCTGACAATTAATTACTTTTCATGATTAAGTAAAAATGTTTCCAGATTTATTATTATTATTATTATTAATTAGGTTTTTTGAGACAGGGTTTCTTTGTATAACAGAGCTCTGGCTGTTGTGGACTTGCTTTGTAGACCAGGCTGGCTTTGAATTCACAGAGATCCTCCTGCCTCTACCTCCCAAGTGCTGGGATCAAAGGCGTGCGCCACCATACCTGGCTAGTATTATTTTTAATTCCAGCATACATTCTATAGAATTTGAAAAACAACCCTAACACCCATATCTTCCAAAAAACTACTGATGAGGGAAGACTGTGTAATGAAAACCATTTTTTTGTTGTTATTTGTAGAGTTTGTGCAAGCTTTTAAAGACTATAGTTGACTACTTATCCTATGCAAGAACACACAACCAAATTCAGTGTGCCTTGCTTTTGTTGTCAAGTCAAAACAGCAAAGCTGAAAAAAACATTTCTCTTTTAAAAGTTATAACCCATCTTTGAGAAAAATCAACAAGCTAGACAAACCCCTAGCCAAACTAACTAAAAGGCAGAGAAGGGTATCCAAATTAAGAAAATCAGAAGCAAAAAGGGGGGCATAACAACAGACAATGAGGAAAAAAAATTGACATGATTATCTCAGAGAACTCCTGCAGCTGATAAACAGATTCAGCTGAGTGGCTGGATACAGATTAATTAAAAAACAAAAATCAGTAGCCCTCCTATATACAAACCACAAATGGGCTGAGAAAGAAATGAGGGAAACTATATACTTCACAGTAGCCACAAATAATATGAAGTATCTTGGTGTAACTCTAACCAAGCAAGTGAAAGACCTGTATGACAAGAACTTCAAGTCTCTGAAGAAAAAAAATTAAAGAAGATATCAGAAGATGGAAAGATCTCCCATGCTCATGGATCAGTAGGATTAACATAGTGAAAATGGTCATCTTACAAAAGCAATCTACAGATTCAATGCAATACCATAAAAATATCAACAGTTTTTTTTTTTTGCACTTAAACAAACAATACTGCACTTTATCAAAAGAACACACAAGAAATTTCAGCTCTTATTCTTTGAGTTATAAAATCAAGGTTTGGCTGTTAAACATGGCTTTTATATAATTGTTTGCATAACTCTAGTAATCTTCAGTGGCTTAAGATCAGAACTGGTTCTTAAAAAAAAAAAAACACTAAAAACATGAAACTACTTAGCCCTGTAGAATATTTAACTGCAGAGTATGTTCATCGAGCCTTACATTCCAGGATTTGCTATATCACTTATAAAGGTCACATCCAAAGGAGAAAGCAAACCACCACAAACTGGGATTATTTGTTTATTTCTTGGCTTAATTTGTTGATCTAGCAAACAAATTTCAACTGTGCTATGCAAATGACAGAAGGAATCTGCTCAGCAATTAGCTTGAGAGTTCAGGTTCATATAGGCAACATGCTATATTTGAAAAAATTACTAACTGAACTACAAGTATTAAATACTGAAAAAATTAACAGTTTATTATAATTTATTTTATTTAACAATCTAGGAGGTTCCTACCATCAGCAGCTCCAGTGCAATTTCAGGTGCAATTGGGAATTCAGGAATCTCAGTGGGGCTGTTAGTGTAGCGGACCTTGTAGGTGAAATACATGCACACTTTTGATAGCACGCATGAAGGGATGTCTCTAAAAGGGACCTCACTGGCTTTGTTCTCAGCAAACTGCCCTGGCCCACTCAACATGGGCTTTATTGTCCCTGATGTTAATGCACGATCTCTTTTTACAGTAAGTCCATGACGATCAGAAGATGTTAACTTGACAGACATGGCATCAGGGCCTTCACAGCCACCACAGGTGTTCTCCTCTCTGTCTATTATGTTCTTATAAAGTTCTGCTTGATCCCACAAGAACTTTAGTAGTTTCTGGCCAGTCCCACAGCCACCACAGCCATATCCCCATGTATTGTCACAGCCCCTATTCAGGGGCCTGGGCCCCCTGACCCTAGTTGCCTACCCCTCCAACATGGTTCTTTACAGACCTTGAACGAACAATTTTCAACCTCATATTGAAAAACAAAAACCCAGAATAGCTAAAACCATCCTTTACAATAAAAGATCTTCTGGAGGTAGCTGTACTACAGAGCAACAGTAACAAAAACTGCATGGTACTGGCATAGAAACAGACTGGTGGATCCATGGAACCGAATAGAAGACCCAGAAATAAACCCACACACCTATGGACACCTGATTTTTGACAAAGGAGCCAAAACCATACAATGGAAAGCAAAAACAAACAAACAAAAAACCAGCATCTTCAACAAATGGTGCTGATCTAACTGGATGTCTACATGTAGAAAAATGCAAATAGATCCATACTTATCACCCTGCACAAAACTCAGGTCCAAGTAGATCAAAGACCTCAATATAATACCAGACACACTAAACCTCTTAAAAGAAAAAGTGGGGAAGAGCCTTGAACTCATTGGTTCAAGAGACAACTTCCTGAATAGAACACCAACAGCACAGGCTCTAAGATCAACAATTAGTAAATGGGACCTCATGAAACTGAAAAGCTTCTGTAAGGAAAAGGACACTGCATATAGAATGAAATGATAGTCTACAGATTGGGAAAAGATCTTCACCAATCCCACATCTGACAAAGGGCTAATATCTAAAATATATAATAAACTCAAGGAATCAAATACCAATAAACAAAATAACCCAATTAAAAAATGGGGCATAGAACAAAACAGAATTCTCAATAGAGGAATCTTGAATGGCTGAGAGGCCCTTAAAGAAATGCTCAATGTCTTTAGTTATCAGGGAAATGCAAATCAAAATGACGCTGAGAGTCCATCATACACCTAAGAATGGTTAAGATCAAAATCTCAAGTGACAACACATGCTGGCAAGGATGTGAAGAAAGGGGAACCTCCTCTATTGCTGGTGGGAATGTAAACTTGTACAACCACTTTAGAAGTCAATCTGATGCTTTCTCAGAAAATTCAGAATAGCTCTACCTCAAGATCCAGCTAACCACTCCTGGGCATATATCCAAAAGATGCTCCACCATACAACAAAGACATTTTCTCAACCATGTTCGTAGCAGTTTTATTCACAATAGCCACAATCTGGAAACAACCTAGATGTCCCTCAACCAAAGAGTAGATAAAGAAACTGGCACATTTACACAATGGAATACTATTCAGCTATTCAAAACAAAACAAAATCATGAAACTTGCAGGCAAATGGATGGAACTAGAAGATATCATCCTGAGTGAGGTAACCCAGACCCAGAAAGACACACATGCTATGTACTCACTTATAAGTGGATTTTGGCCATAAAGTACAGGATAAGCATACTACGAGGCACAGACCCAAAGAAAATAAGTAACAAAGAGGATCCCAGGGAGGAAGCATAAATCTCACTTGGCAATCCCCTTCCAAGTGACAGAAGATACAGAAATAGTGGCTGAAGAGAGGGACCAAGGTAGGAGAAGGGGCACAGAGAGTTAAGGGGGTGGAGATCAGACCCAGAGACAGCAAGCACTAGAGGACAGAAGGACAGTAGAGAAAAGGGAAACTGAGGGTGGGTCTTTTCTGTGACAAGCTGGAGATCTAAGTCAGGGTAGGCTCGTGGGAGGATCTGAGGGGGATTCAGGCCGAGACTCCTAGTAGCAGAGCCATAGAGACTGAAGAGGACACCCTCTAACTAGACTAGTCTCCTAGCAGAGGGAGGGGGAAACCAAACCACCCACAAAATCTTTAACTAAAAATTTACCCTGCATGGTTGGGGAAAAGGGATGGAGCTACAAACAGCATGTAAAGTTAATAAAAAATAGAAAAGAAAAGAAAAATATATTCAAGGTTAAAAAAAAATATTATAACCCAGACTTTTATTGTAAAAAGCTACTTTACTTGGTAGTAACTTTAATGTAAAAAAAAAAAAAAAAACATTTCTTTTTAAAAATTTTTATATATTATTTATGTGTATTGGTGTTTGCTGCATAATACACATACACACACACACACACACGCACATATGTACAGCACACATATTACAGATGGTTGTGAGTAGCCAAGTGGGTGCTGGGAATTGAACCTAGATCCTCAGGAAGATCGGACAGTGCTCCTAACCATTAAGTCATCTCTCCAGCCCTCCAAACTATTTCGATGGTGAGTGTATTAAGCAGTGCATGGAGGGTGTGGCAGATATAATGTACTCTGAAAAAAAGGAAACAGTCTCTCCAGACTATGGTAGGTGAATTAAATGAAGTGGAGAGACGAGCTGCTGTTTTTAAAACTGTGTTCTGATGATGGACACCGACTCCGATGCCAGAAATATGGCCTAATTTGCCATTTTTATCATGGGTGTTGATGACAAATATAACCACCCAAGAAAGGGCCTCTCTGCCTATTAAAACACTGGAGGTAGGTGTATCTCTGTGAGTTCGAGACCAGCCTGGTCTACAGAGTGAGTTCCAGAACAGCCAGAGCCACACAGAGAAACCCTGTCTCAAGAAACCACTACCACCAACCACCACCACCAAAACACTGGAGAGAGGGGGATGGAGAGACCGTTCAGGTGAAAGAGCATGCATTACCTCTGCAGAGAACCCAGGTTTGGGTCCCAGCACCCACATGGGGCAGCTCACAGCTGTCTGTCACCCCAGCTCCAGGGTACATCCTCAGAGGGTACATGCACATGGGAGCACACCTAGACACGCACACACATACATAAGGAAGAAGGAAGGGCGCTGCTAAATCAAAGATCTGTACACGGCGGTGAAGGCTATGCCAACGTGACTTTTTTAAGTCCACGCTGTGTAATAACATTTTGTTTTCTTAATCTGTCATTATTCGGAAGGTCAGACCTAAGCTACAGAATCTTAGTCATCCCTAGGGCTTCTGGCTAGTAAGTAAGAGCAAAAGATAAGGTCCAGCACAGCCAGTTTTCCAGCTGCTCTCTGTCTGTCTCTGTTTCTGTCTTTCTCTCTCTCTGTCTCTCCCCCTCCTCTCTGCTGCGTACACCTTGTTTCTCTCTCATGTCAGGCTAAACATTCACAGGTAATTCTTTACCCTATGGGGCATCCTGCAGGAACACACATGGCAGGTCCGAGTCTAGTGACTAGTTTGGATTTTATGGTTAAAGTTCTGATCGCCAGATACCTCCCTTGGCCATTAATAAATAACTTGCATAATGGCACCTTGGCACCATGTTCTATTCTGTGCTCCTTCGTTTGTAGCTCTCAGGCTCGGGGCTGACGTGGGGCATTCCTAGTGCACAGGTGGGCACCACTGGGGCACCCCCAGGCTGACTGAGCACAAACACCCACCTCTCACACAGCTCTGATGGATCATTCATTCTGAAGACTGTGTCTGCAGGCCAGAGACAAGCGAGCCTGGAGCAGGTGCTGAGGGCACAGACTTTTGCCAGATTTGCCCAGTATGACGAAGAGCTGCCTCCTCTCCAGACTCCACTGGTACAAAGGTGGCAGATGCCAGAGGGGAAGAAGGGAAGGAGACTTCTGTCTTCCTGCTCTACACTCCAAACCGGCTCTGAACTCTGCAACCCTCCTGTCTCAGCCACAGGAGGGTTGAGCATCAGCATTGCAGGCATGAGCCATCATGCCAGACTTAAGGGGGGAAATACACGCACGCACGCACGCACGCACGCACGTGTACACACATACATATATGAGACAGGATCTCACTAGGTAGCTCTGGCCTAGCACTGGCTATGTAGATCAGGCTGACCTTGAACTCATGGAGATCTGCCTGTCTCTGCTTCCTCAGTGTTGGAACTAAGGCAGACACCAACATGCCCTGCAGAGAGAAAAAAAAAAAAAAAAACAAAACTGTTTTTAAAGATGTCATTTTGAGGTAGTTTCTGTTTTGCAATAATTCAAGGCTAGGAATCTTTTATGTTTTGAAAAATCACCCTCTTGGCTCATTAACACTGCAGTTCTAGACAGGAAGTGTCTGAGCTAGATTGCTTCATGTATTAATTCTCATGGTCTGTGCTTTCCCAGAGCCAAATTTCTTCAAGGGTTGTCCCCTTAGGAGAAATGTGCTTTCGTGTGTGCCCATGCGTGTGTGTGGGGGTGTTGTCTAAGTGTGCTGGAGAACTGTTAGTACCCCTGGTGGAGGTGGGGAAGGGGAGGTCCCCCAGACAAGCTCTGCATCCTCCTCACGTTATCTCCAGGGCATGGTCCAAAGAAAACCCTTTGGTTGGGTGGAAGAATGCAAGAGAGCTCTTGAGTACTCTCAGAAGCCCCTGCCCAGTGGCTTAACACCATCTTATGTGGAAGTCAAGACTCCTTCTGACACAGGGTGTAAGAGGATGCCACACCAGCCGTGCACAGCTGAACTCCTGCCCTGAGAGTCCACAGTGGCCTTGCTGGCCACAGTGACCATGGGGGTAAAGGACATGGAAAGAAAGAGGGTGTCCCCTTCACTGGCAGCTTCCTGAGAGAACAATAGTGCTTGTGTGCGCACACACACACACACACACACACACACACACACACACTGAGACAGAGAAAGAGACAGACTGATAGGGAAAAAAATACCTATAGCATACTGCCAGGTTTTTTGTTTGTTTGTTTGATTTTAGTTACCTTTAATCTAATAGTCCCCAAAGAGTTAGAGCCTGCCAGCAACCACACCAGCAAGCTAAGACAGTCCTTCCCCCTTAGACTTTTCGGATCAGAGCGCAGGCCCTGAGCTGACCACCCAGCCAAGAACCCTTCTACACTGGGCCTAGATTTCTGACCCACAGGAACTGTGAGGTAACTCGTGTTGTTTGAGAGCTTAGTGTGGGGCAAGAGTTGGGAGCTTGACAGAGATCACTCTATGTTGTGTGTCTTAGATTCCCCATCAGGGTA